GTACATTTTAAGGCCTTGCTTCTGTTCTCTCCTCTCCAAAATAGGGAAGACGTGGAAAGGAGTAGTTCTTTACTCTCCGGTTATGCGCCACTCTCCTGCAGTTCACCGCCCCTTCCCAAGACCATTCAGAGTTGACACAGATTAGGAACAATGCCATGTTATCGTTCAAGCAGCATGTGCCCTGTGGTGAGGGAGGGGAAATGACCGGGTTGTTACACAAGTGCCCGAAACAGGAGGATCCAACCGAGGTAACCACTGGTCCCTTCACTGCAGTATCTGATATCTCTGGATCTCAGTGCCTAGAATAAGCAGCCTCTTCTTGGCATATGCCATTCCATCCTAGTCCTGGCTTTGAGAGATGGGGCAAGAGTCATACAATTCTCAAAAAAAAAAACAAAAAAAGTAATTGAGATTCACTTTCAGGAAGGCATGCGAAGGCCACACAGTGGTGTTGAGCCATCAATCAGACTGACCTGAGTAGGATCTGAGCTTCAGACGGTGGGAGGGAGGGGGACAATCACTACCGAACATGGTCCTGAAGCTGAGCTGGGGACCACACAACTGGATGCTTATAACAAGGCTGTGGTCTCTATTACCAACACCCACCACAACACTTCACTAGAGGAGCCCAACCTCTAAAAACATAACAGCTAAGACTCAAGACAAACTGCTTCTGGTCTGGGCACCCGCCCAAGTCCATAAGAGAAGACAGAAAACAAGGAATCAACTTAATCTTTGCCGGTAGACTAGAACCTTATGCCTCTCAACTGAATCAATGTAAAATGTGATGGCGCGAGTGATCTGTGACATAGGTCGATTTGGGAGTAGCGATCCACCTATGAAAGCTTCTACATTGTTCCCTTGCTCCACCCAACCTGCCACAGGCTGACTTCATGCTAAATGAACTCTTCAGAGACACTAGGACTGAAATTTATACACCTTGGCAGCGAATCAATTCTTCACAACCATAAGGTTGTTTGAGTAATTCAATACATGCACATTCATAACCAAGAATGTTTTAAAAATAAACAAGTTTAAACTCATTTCAAGGTACTGACAAACTCTCAATGACCCGTGAGGGAACTGCTCTCTAGAGGGAGCTGAGGATACCTCTTCATTAGCCACTGAGTTTCAAGGCTGCCCATAACGGGACAGGCTGAGCTAAACAAAAAGCCGTGTGAAAATGCATGCCACAGCTCCACTATGTTCCAAAGCAGATACACATAATTTTAAAATCACCGCCGAAAAGGCAAGACTCAATGTCAACATGAACAAGTCTGGTTGACCACCAAAGCATTTTATATACAGACATAACACCCTGATGTAAAAATCTGGGACCGCTTCTCTGTCCATTATGCACTACAATGTTCAATGTGACTATTATTTAACTTGGGAGCCTTGGAATAAGGTTCTCCCAAGTAAGCTGTGTGGAATTCAGTCTGCAGTGAGAGCTAATAGCCTTTCACCAAATGAAAGAGAAGATACTGTGTCTATTACCTCATGCTCCCAAGTCCAAACTCTCCCAAAGCAACTACCTCCTGTGTCTTCTGGGTCTTACCTAGGGAATATACCCAACGGAGAATCAAAATAGCCCAAAGCACATAAAAGAGGTGGCCTATCTGCACATTCTTCCTGGAGCGCAGCATGATGACATTTTGGAGCCATCAGGGCATGGAGACCCAGATAGGCCAAGCAAACAGCAACACCGCAGGTGGGCTAGGAGCTAATGGACCACAAGGAGCGCCTCCAATGGCCCGACCACATCCATCTGAAGCTGCAGAGGCCCTTGCAGCTCTCCCCGCTCTTTGAACTGCCAAAGCATAAAGTACAAAACGGACCTTCCATGCCTGGTGCAAGGCCTCACACAACCAAATAGCAGGGCCTATCCAGCAAATGGAGACAAGCAGGTGCTTGGTGCACATTCTGCCTGCCGGGAATAAGCCCCTGGTTTCAGTTCTGTGACATGGACAATTTGGCAGGGGTGGGGTGGGAAGAAGGTGCATTCTCTCTACCTGCTTCACCACATTATCTTTGGAAACAAGGGCAGACATTATCCTGTTTTGTGCAGATACTTAGCAGCTGCTGTGGTTTCCTTTACCGTTACATTCTACAGGTAAGTTTTTCCTGCTTACTTTCTAAAAATTAACTAGGTATGGAGGCAACAGTGATTTTCTAATAGTCTGTGATGCATTTTTGTGATTGATTAGACATGATGACAATTACCAGGATCGACAGGCTCCAAGTAATCAACAGTAGATTCTGTCACCTCCCTCAATATCCTCTCTCACCTCAACCTTTGCACGGCTCTGTTCCAAGCCAGCCAAGTGTTACTGTTACGACAGTGTGTTTACTCTATTTATGTATCAGGAGAATAAATGAGTTAGGCTGCATGTTCGCCTTCTACAGATAGAGGCATCAATCCATAGCCAGCAGATGATCTGAACCTTGTAGGGGAAAAAAAAACAATTATTAAAATATACATATTGCATTTAGCTATTAAAAACCAACGGCACGCAATCTGCTCTGAAGAAATTCCACTGGGAACTGGAACACATACAAAATATAAAAAGAAAAAGAAGAGAAAAGCAAATTGTATACATATACAATATAGAGATTTTTTTTTTTCCTGCAGAAAAGTGCTGATCCAAACCTGCCCCAAGGAAATGAGTTCTTTTTAAACAAAAATGCAATCAGGGATAATCAGCAAGTTAACAACACACTTGCAAACACCCTGGTCCCTAGAAGGGAAGAATGCCAGCTCTCAATGCAAGTTTTGAGAACAGAACAGATCCTTTGGGCGAAAGAGAAAACAAGTGATCATGTCAGCGTCTTGAGGCAGAACTTTCTCCAAAGCCAAGAAGCTCTGGAACAGCAGTCAGCTCCAGAAGGCACCTGCTTGTGAGAAGCACTTCAATAACCACATTCCCAAAATGGTTCGTAGACTGGGGTTGCCTCCTCCCCACCCCTTCTCCCAGTGGGTTCGGTGGAGGAAAAACAGAAGCCATATAAGGACAATACATATGCCTGGCATCTCCATCTCTGACAGCCCACCCGCAGGAAGGGAGATAGATGTGATGCCCAACTTATTAGAAGAAAGAAGTGGAGACTCAGGCAGCTCCTGCAATAGCCCCTGCATGACAAGACCTCCAATGTGTTCTGGTCTCCAGCAGGTACCACCTGGGGAATAAATTTTAATTTTTTTAATATTCTTAAATGGCCACTGGTAGCTAAAGTTCACATCAAGGACAACCTGCTTTAGGGGTTGGGATGTTCTGGAAACACTTAAGGAACACCTGCAGCTTTTAATTACAAATCCCAAGGTAGCAGGGGCCTTACCTGAATGAAGAAATCTCGGGAGTCAGTAGCAAGGCAGTCACCTGGCCACACCCACCTGCACCACCCACCTGGCATCAGCCACCTGGCCTCGCTTGATCTTGTACCAGTTGGTTCCTAACCTTGATTGCACATTGGAATTATGTGGAGAGCTTTAAAAATGTACAGATGCTTGGATCCCATGCCAAGAGATTCTGATTTAATTAGCCTGGGATGTGGTCTGGAGTTTAAATTCCTCCAAGATGATCCTAACGTGCAGCTAAGTTGAAAAGCACTGTTCTACCCTATACCTTGCACCACTTCCACGAAGAGACCAGCAGGGGATGGCAACATAAAACCCATGTAGGAGAATCCAGGGCTTAACCCCAATGGTAGGAGGAAATGTGGCTTCCTTGCCTCCTGTCATCCTCATCTCTCAACATACATACCTGCATGGCCATTCTCAGTTTCTCACTTCAGCAGTTCCTTCTACCCACATCTAAGCCGTGAGTATGTCCAGGAATTTGGATTTTAAGTATTTGTCAAATTAAAGTCTGAGCCATTTCTCTTAAATCTAATCCCAAACAGTCAGGATTTGGTGAACAAGGAAGGGCAGCCTAAGCCTTTGGGCCTCCCTGCTTCTCCCTGGGAAGTCACAGTTGAACCTGGGAGGTTCTCCAGGCTATGCTATATACTCTCAGCTCCCTGGGAGGGTTGGCTGAGCAAGGTTACAGTCAATCTCTGTGCCTCTTTTTGATGTTCTCAGTACATGGAGAGGATGGGAAAGGGAACCATCTCTAAAGAGGTACCTCATGTGAGAAATCCTCATTACCAAAACAAAGAGGCAAGAAGGGCCTGGCCAAGGTGCCTCATCCACCTTCTAGATGCCTCCCAGAGGGTTGGGAGGTACAGTGGGCCAAAAAGAAGAACCGAGTTCATTTTTCTTTTCTTTATGCTAGGAATGAGAAGAGGTAGCGATGGGGAGTTTCCCAACTATCCTTTAGGGTCCAAGCCTCAAGGGGTCAGAAGGACACAGGTAGAAATTTGCCAATTTTTTTCTTTTTTGAGATGGAGCCTCGCTCTGTCACCCAGGCTGGAGTGCAGTGATGCACTCAGCTCACTGCAACCTGTACCTCCCAGGTTAAAGTGACTCTCCTGACTCAGCCTCCAAGTAGCTGGGACTACAGGCATGCACCACCACACCTGGCTAATTTTTGTATTTTTACTAGAGACAGAGTTTCACCAGGTTGGCCAGGCTGGTCTCCAACTCCTGACCTCAAGTGATCCACCCGCTTCGGTCTCCCAAAATGCTAGGCTTACAGGCATCAGCCACCATACCCACTGAAATTTGCTAATTTCTATCTGTTTTCATGCCCTGGGTTGACCATGTTAAACGGTGCTGCAGCGGGAGGGGCCAAGCTGGGGCAGACCCTGCAGACTACTTCATCTAATCCTCTTACTAGAGTACAGAGCCCAGGGTTCAGGAGCCAGGATTCTCCTCCTGCTGAGATCTGACAGATTCTCCACTGAGAGTAGGCAAAGGATTTCTACTGCCTCCTCAGGGCAAGGGGCCCAGTGATCTAACACGCAGCTAAGATGTGCACCCATATAGAGCTGGTTTCTATCAGGAGCCCCAGCCTCAGCCATCCCATGGATGGGTCTCTAGCAACACAGGAAGAAGGTCTTACCTTCTGAGCAGAGCTTGCCACCATAGCCAGTGGTAGAACAGTCACAGGTGGGGTGGCCATCCAGGAGAAAGCAGATCCCACCATTTTCACAGGGACGCTCACCACAGGGTCCCTCAGCATCCAACTGGACACCCTGGCTCCCCAGAAGCCGAGGCTCTGAGTTTCCATACTTGAGATCCAGAATTAATCCCTTGAAGCCGGGCATGGCCTGTACTCCATCCAGGGTCAGGGCAGAAGGTCGTATGTCAGCAGGGACTCCACCGAGGAACAAGTCACTGACCACATCCATGTAGGGCCGCTGGGGCTGCAGCTCCCCAGCCTGGCCCTCTCCATCAAGCATCAGCACCGTGCGCAAGCGGTCGCGGCTCACCATGAGGAAATGCCAGCTGCTGTCATTCACCTGCTTGTTGGACAGCACAGCCGTCTCGGCACAGTCCATGCTGAAGCGGAGCTGAATGCGGCCATCCACCAGGGAGAGGCATAGGAAGTCGCAGACGCCGCCATCATCCAGGTAGAGGAGCAGCCCCGTGGAGACATTGGTCTTGAGCTGGAAACTCAGGTCGCCACGCGTGCTGGCATCCCAGCGGAGATAGCGGGCCCACTGGTTGGGGAGGCCCATGAACTCGAGGCCCAGGCAGAGCCCCAACAGGGACCCCAGCAGGATGCTGACCTTCAGGGTGAAGAAAACTGAGTGGAGTGTGAAGCTCATTGTCGCTGCTGGGACAGAGCCCGGAGGAGCAGACAGGCCAGGGAACAGCCCAGAGAGGCTCTCTCCCTTTGGTAATGGAAGTGGGAGAAGGAGACAAGGCAGAGATGCGGGGACAGAAAGCACACAGGAGGAAGGCAGCACACACGGATCCTGAGATGGTGAAGAGGGAGGAAAATGCACAAGAGAGTCCCAGGGGGGCACACAAGCAAGAAATTGAACAAAGAGGCAGTGGAAAAAGACAGGACCAGCAGAAGAGGAGGAAAATCAGGTGGGGAAGTGAGGGGCTGGAGTGAAGAGGAAAGCGTCTTTCTCCAAGAAAAGATCTCAGCTATCCATGTGGATCCGGAGGCCTTGATTCAAGGAGGAGAAGGTGCAGGAGAGTGGGAAGACACCTTCAGCGATGCACTCCTCCCAGCAGACCCCCAAATGCCCCAGCCAGGGAAGCCAGGGACCGGGCCAGGGCACTGTGATGGAGGGTGGAGTGAGTGGTGAGGTGAGCCAGATGACAAGTAGAAACAGGCCAAGTACCAGTCCCAAAGTTCTACCTCCTAGCAGTGGCTGGCTGTGAGGCGGGGGACAGCTAGAAGCCCAATGCTCAGACAGAGCAGGGCCCAGGGCAGAGCGCAAGCAGACTCAGGCTTCATGGTGCGGCCAGAGGTAGTGCTGCCCATAACTTGCCTCCCAGGACTCCAGAGAAAAGACCTGTGGGAAGAAGGGGAGGGAGAAGGAGAGGAAGATTAGGGCCATTTATTAGGAAAACATTGCATCCTATTTCACAAGTATTGATGGAACGCTGACTGCGAGCCAAGCTATTCTAGTGACTGCTACAGTGCTTAGTGCTTCCAACGGGAGGGAGGCCCCGGGTTCTTCCAGGGCCACTACAGGACCTAAGCCCAGGTCCTAATGATGCACTCAGGTTTTCCATATGTAAAAGTAAAAAATAATAAAAGTCCCCAAAGCCATATCAGCACATTGTTATAATATTCACATCACAAGGTCACATGGCCAAAATGCATTTTTAAGATAAGTGTTAACATTTTATATACTCAAATACCCACACCTAATTTTTACTTATTTACCAATTAAAAGCATGCAAATGACATTAATTTTTTTTTCTATATTTTTCCTTTTCAATTTGACAACTCACTATAGGAAGCGTAAGGCAAATTGCTACCCCTAAATTTGTGAAAGAAATGTTTATAAAAATCCGTGAAAATAAGCTGGAAGGTGAGTAATGAGTAAAATAACCCTTTTCTCTTACTGAATATCCAGAGAGGAGGATAACTTTACTCTGCCTCATGAAAAAAAAAAAAAAAAAAAGGCTGAGTTTGAATCCTATCTCCTGTATGCGGCACTATGAGAAAATTTCTTAACTTGTTTGAGATTCTATTTCCTCATTTGTAAAGTGGAGAAAATAATAGCCTCTTCTCAAGGTTGAAGAGAGGAATAAATGAAATCAGGAATAGAAGATCCTAGCATAAGGCTTTTTTTTTTTTTTTTTTTTTGAGACGGAGTCTTGCACTGGCACAGGCTGGGGTGCAGTGGTGTGATCTCAGCTCACTGCAACCTCTGCCTCCCAGGTTCAAGCGATTATCCTGCCTCAGCCTCCCAAGTAGCTGGGATTACAGGCACCCACCTGGATAGGGGTTTTTTTGTATTTTTAGTAGAGATGGGGTTTCACCATGTTGGCCAGGCTGGTCTGGAACTCCTGATCTCATGATCAGCTCACCTCATCTTTACAAAGTGTTGGGATTACAGGCATAAGCCACGGCACCTGACAATTTTTTTTTCCTTTGGAGACAGAGTCTCACTCTGTCGCCCAGGCTAGAGTGCAGTGGCACAAGCTCAGCTCACTGCAACCTCCAACTCTTGGGTTCAAGCAGTTCTCCTGCCTCAGCCTCCCAAGTAACTGGGATTATAATTTTTGCATTTTTAGTATAGATGGAGTTTCATCATATTGCCCAGGCTGGTCTCAAACTTCTGACCTCAGGCAAACTGCCTGCCTAGGCTTCCCAAAGTGCCTTCAGCGATGCACTCCTCCCAAAGGACCCCCAAATGCCCCAGCCGGGGATTACAGGCGTAAGCCACTGCCACTGGCCACATGAGGCTTTATACATAGGAGGTGACCAACAAATCCTCGATTTCTTTCTCTATTTCTGAAGTCAGAAGGGATAGGAGGAGGGGCTATTAGTGTATGTCTGTGTATGTGTGGATGTATGTATAGCTATAGAGTGAGCAATGTGTGAAAACGAAAATACTAAAAAAGATGATGAAAACTGCAGAATGGATGACAACCGAATAGTAAAGAAATGCCTAGAGTGACACTGGATAGCTCCGAATGACCTAGAGTATATTATGTGTATTTTCCAATGGTTAGAAACAGTTAGAAAGGCACCAGCATGCAGTCTGGTTTCTGAGGGCAGACTCTGGCCCACCTAACCGACTTCTCTGTTCAGATCAAACAGCAAGTGTGAGTTCTAGGAGCTGTGCAGGTTGCTGCTCATTACCTGGCACATTTGATAATTCACCACGGTCTCCATCAGAACATTACTAGCCACGATTTTTATAATAACCACATCAGCAAAGCTAGTTATTACCACTTCTTTGAAGAGGTAGCTGCTGTTCCCTAGCCAGGAACAAACACCTATTCCCAGTGAACACACAAACCCAACGAACAAGAGCTGATTAAATCCATCCTAAGGAAAGCCTTTGTTCTATAAAAGGCTTTGTCCAAGCAATGTTCCCTAAAGTGTGGCACAGGTGCTGTGCCAAGCTTCTGTAGACTCTGAAGGGAAGGCACCAGGTTCAAGAGGCAGAAGTACCCCAGAGCCAGCCAGCGAGCCATGGGGTTTTATTGGGAGCTTAAATCCGGAGGAGAGAGTCCAGTGGCGGTGACCTGGGTAGGAGAGCTTCAAATGCTTGCAAAAGGTGTGTAGTTTATACAGCATATTTACTTAGCATCCTCCCCTGAAAGGTCCCTACCTGGCAACCTTCACTTACCCTAAAACAAAGGGCCTTGATTCCCTGTAGAGCCCACATTCCATGGGACCCGCCAGGGGCTCACATGTTCCTGATAGAAAAGGAACACATCTCCGGGTTGGCCACTCCCAGATTCCCTAGTTAGAGACACACGTTCAAGTGTATCTGCCACGCAGGGTCATTCTCAGAGTATGCCCAAGTTATTGCTATCAAGTCCTTTTACCATACACGCAGGTACCCCAGTGATTCAAAAGAGGCTCAGCTGAGACATGGACACAGGAGTGTGCTGGTGCCAACTCACACAGGCCTGTGAGAGCCAACTGCTAAAATTTCAAAAACGTTAACCTGGTTGGGATGACTTTGGTAGCATGAAATCAACAGGCAAGGAGTATTGACACCCCAGAAAAAGGCAAACACCACAACGAGTCTTTGAGAAGGTGAGATTTAAAAAAAGACTTGAGGCCATGCCCAGTGGCTTACGCCTGTAATTGCAGCACTTTGGGAGACCGAGGCAGGTGGATCACCTGAAGTCACGAGTTCAAGACCAGTCTGGACAACATGGCTACTAAAAATACAAAAATTAGCAGTGGTGGAAGGCACCTATAATCCCAGCTACTCAGGAGGCTGAGGCAAGGAGAACTGCTGGAACCTGGGAGGCAGAGTTTACAGTGAGCCAAGATCGTGCCACTGCACTCCAGCCTGGGCAACTGAGCAAGACTCCATCTCAAAAAGAAAAAAAGGAAAGGCTTGGGGTCAGGCACGGTGGCTCACACCGGTAATCCCAGCACTTTGGGAAGCCGAGGTGGGTGGATCACAAGGTCAGGAGTTCAAGACCAGCCTGGTCGATATGGTGAAACCCCGTCTCTACTAAAAATACAAAAATTAGCTGGGCTTGGTGGCATGCACCTGTAGTCCCAGTTACTCAGGAGGCAGAGACAGAGGAGTCACTAGAATCCGGGAGGTGGAGTTTGCAGTCAGCCGAGATTGCACCACTGCACTCCAGTGTGGGTGCTGGAGTGCAGAGAAAGAAAAGAAAAGAAGAAAATAGAAGAGAAAAGAGAGAGAGAAAGCAAGGAAAGCAAGGAAGAAAGAAAAAGAAAAGAAAAAAGAAAAAGAAAAGAAAAGAAAAGAAAAGAAAAGAAAAGAAAAGAAAGAAAGAAAGGAAGGAAGGAGGAAGGGAGGAAACTTGAAAGAGGGTGAGGGAATCAGCCATCTAAGTATCTGGGAAGAATATTCCAGGAGCAAAAGTCAATGCAAAAGAACTGAGGCTGGAGCGAACTGGAATATTTGAAGAAGAGCAGGAGGTGGGTGCTGCTGCAGTGGAGTGAGTGGAAGACATGAAGCCAGACATTGATGATGATCCTTGTATGAGGTGAGGTATGCCAACAGAGTCAAAGGGCCACATCTCAAGGAAAAGAGAAAACCCTTCCATTCAACTGTTTCCTGGGCTCCAGTTCATTCCAGGCACTATTGGATCAAAGTAGAATAAAGACACCAATCTGACCCTCCAGGGTGTCACAAACTAGAAGGGGACAAGTTTACTTCAGAGACAGTAAAGCACGGCAATTAAGAGCCCAGGCTCTGGAACCAGATTGCTTACGGGGGGCTCTCTGGAGGCAGTGGCTGCTTCAGCACAGTGCCTGCCACAGGACTTGGTCATGGCGCTGGAGTTTGGGAGGCACTGCAGACAGAATGAACCGTAAAGCAGAAGCAGAGCATTCCTGTGGATTATTTGACTTCTGTTCCATGCAGTGGCCTCCAGACAACCCCACTTTACACAAAGACAGTCATCCCGAGCCCTTGCACCTCTCTGGATGCTAACCTCACATGACCCTGATGAGCAAAGCAGCACACAGTTAGTGATCTGGGGAAACCCATGAATGAAAAACCATGCTGCCCAGAAACATTCCCTTGTGAGGGAAGATCATGGGCACTGATCTCACCTGCTTTGTGGGGGCTACACACCTCTTCCAGGCTGAGCCTCCCATTCATTCAGGCCCTCATCCTTCCCCCGCAGCCCAGACCAGCCCTGGAGATACCACCGTTCCCTGCCTTACCTCATGGGGAAAAGGCTGACTGGGGAAACCCAAGCTTTCTTTCCCACAGGCAGAATCCAGTTTCAGAAGTAGTAACATCAGAATTGGGCTCAGGTAGACTTAACCCCCTATGGTCTACCCGTATTCTTTCCTAAAGCCCTTCCTTTTTTTTCTTGGTTTTGGACATTCCTGCAGCCTCTGGGAAATTGCCAAAATGGCCAAAAGCTAGAGATGCCCTTACACTAAATATCACAGGCCTCCAGAGGTTATCCGCCAGCCTTCTTTAGCCCTCTGGTGGGGCATACCAGGCTCAAGAAATGGGAAAACAGGAGCCAGAGAGCCCTCTTCACCTGGCCAGATGGCTGCCACCCTCTGCTGAGCCACAGACGAACGCAGGCAGCCACACACACAGGTGGTTTGCCCCAGAGCCTCCAGGCAGGGACCAGGCTGGTGCAGAAGCTCAGAACACTTGTCTGTTGTGTGGGAATCAAGTTAGAGAGGGAAAGTGAGTGACATTATCTAATTGCCAGCTAATTTACATAATTATCGAACGGCACACTTTTTATGTGGGGTTAACATCTTTGCAAATGTCTCATAAGCCGGCTGCTTAGGAGGCGGCAGGGCCGTGCGGTGGGGGGCTCACACAACTCTGACATGTGGACTATTTGCCACAAGCGTGGCTCAGAA